TTTGATCTCATGAGGCTGTTTGCAGGGACGAATCCTGTCCGCGTAATGGCTTCTGGAGCCATTGATGTGAATCATAAAGATGAAACTTATGATGGGAAGGTAAACTTCATTTTTTTCTGGGAAATCATTTTACTTTCTGATATTAGCATTTCAGCAATTCTTGTAGGATAATATTTCGAATAGATTTTTGCATAAAAGAAGGAAAAAGTAAAAATCTACTAGATACCTGTCAATCTGATGAACTGGAAGGCCATTCATTCACTTTTAGAGAAGCCAAATGGTTGATTCAGCCAATTATTTTCTTGCTATCCTCAAATTATCTCAGTTTGTTCACCTTGTATATTTCTATCCCCAATTGCATTTTTATGTCAGAAGTCAAACCTTATCGCGTGGAAAATTGAGCAGGAAATGCTGGTGGATTCTTGAACTCTCTTAAGACATAACGCTAGATTGAGTTTAGACCACTCGCAAGATATGTAATAGGGATTCCTTATAGGCTCTGATAACCAATTATGTAGCTGGGAATTCCGATGAGGGACGATACTTGATAACCTTTGTTCTTCCATATGGCTTATGTTTCCAGGCTCGCATATAAGAAGTCTCTTTTCCTGTTATCTTGTTTTCACATGTTAATGCTCCTGTTTTGCAGGTGCCTGATATAATTGATAATGCTTATGTAATTGTGGAATTCAAAAATGGTTCCCGGGGCATCCTTGACCTCTGTATGTTTGCCGAAGGGAGTAAAAATGAACAAGAAATATCTGTTGTCGGTGACATTGGGAAGGTAAATTTTTCCTCCATGTTAACACCTCCCTTCTTGGCTGGACCACTCAGTTGTGGTATGCTTGGTATTATTCGACGTAAAGGGAAAGAAAGAAGGATAGAAAGAGAGAAACTTAAAATCTTGTTTATTGTAGTGTTGAGTCCTATTCAATGCTGCTTATCAAACCTACATATAGCATGTTTGGTATTCTAGATTGAACAGTCCATGACAAGCTTAATTAAAACAAGAATTATAATCTTGTTTGTTGCACTTTCCTATCCTATCTAATACTGCATACTAAACATGCACTTAGTGCTTATATTTGTGTGACAATATTAGCATTGGTCCAAGCTGTTGCAAAAGCAGCTTCAATCATGGCTACGCTAGCAAATTGGTGCTCAGAATGCTCTTTTGCTTTAGGATGATGATTCTCTACATCGCCTCAAATGATTTACTTATGATTATTGGTCACAGGGTGAGGCATTCGTTCCTGAGAGTATTGTCCGTTGGGGTATTCGAGCTGAAGGAAGGGATGGTGTTAAAACTTTAAAAGCTGAGGATAATCGAATAAAGTAAGAGCTTCTTATTTTTGCACTTTAACCACGCAACACGGTTTGGTCTAATGCCTTCTAAAATCTTGCTAACCTACGAATGTATCTTGCTTATCAGATTCGAGGGACTACATCATGGTTCTAGCTATTTAGAACATCTTCAGTTTTTGTCTACAATCAGAGCAAAGGGGACACGAGCTCCTTCTGTAGATTTGTATGATGGATTGGTTTCTGTAGCAGTTGGAGTTGCAGCACAGCTCTCAATTGCGAAGGGCCGAGTGGTAACCATCGAGGAGGTTATGCGTGAATAATGTCAGCTGTGGCTTCAATTATTCAAGCTACGTACTTATTGCTATTTCTTTTCAATACCAGAAGGCAATGTTATGAAATTTCA